TATATATATATATATATATATATATATATATATATATATATATATATATATATATATATATATATATATATATATATATATATATATATATATATATATATATATATATATACGCCGAACTAGTAAATAACGTAACCTTGGCTCACCATCTGATGCATGCCTTATAGCTCAATGGTTAGAGCGTCTGTCCGGTTATCAGAAGGTTACGTGGTTCAATTCCCGTTAGGGCTCAGAAATTTTCTGAGCATAGGCTTGATATGCATCCACACCAAATCACATATTCCACAAGCTACCACAGCAACACGCAAAACACATATACAGAAATGCAGTTCTTAATAAAAACATCTGCAGATTGTACTATTACGTTCGTTCTCTCTCTCTCTAATAGATTTGAAGATTTGTAATCCAGGCAATCTAATGGTCCGTCCCTTAAGGGTTCGGCAAGTTAGGTAATGACAAGTGATAAATCCAGGGATAAAATAAGGAAGGGAAGATAATTTTATCTTTCTTTTAACAACGTAGAATCAATATGAAATTTCACAATTTTTATTTACTGCCTCAATACTTACAACTATAAAATAGAACGTTTGTCATCACTCATAAATAAATGAAATATATCCATAAATGTCATTAATAATTCATACAAGTTCCATTCACGAGTTTTGGTATGGCATCTTTTTTTCTGTGCTGCAGCATGCTTCTACTCGAGGATGAAAACTTCACAACCAACAGTAATATCCTTAGTTTCCCAGTCCGACCCTGGAATCCCTTTCTTTTCAGCTAAGCTGTGCTTTATTGGTCTGCATTCAAACGTACGATTGCCACTTAATTTAGTCGTCTTGCTTCTGGGCTCACATTTCCCATTTCCCGTGTAATGTGTTGTTAGTACGGATCTATTCTTGCTATACTTATCATATTTAGTTGTGGTTATTATATAATCATTTCCTGATAGTTTACACATTGATGTTCCTCCACGCTTTGTCAGTTCAAGGTCTCTGTTAAAGGTAGGTGCCATGCGGCTTAAGTTAGACATTGTTTATACATAGAAGTTAGTCTTAACCTGCTTTTTAGTGGTTTTCATGATTAGTCTTAACCTGCTTTTTAGTCGGGAGTTTTACATATATACATCACACAGGCAACATTTTAAACCGTTTTATTAAAGTCATTAAACAACTTTTGTGATGAAGTTGGCAAAAACACACTAACCCACACCAATCTGAAAGATCTGCAATCAATACGATTACTTAAAAATTACTTTAAAACCGTCTGTATATACCTGTGTGCAGCACGGGTACTAGTGTAAGAAAGCTTCGGGATTGATAGGTGTACAACTATCTGAAAAATACAATGAGAACTTCGATGTTCCGAGTAACTTCCCAATAATTACGAAGGGCCTTCGCTCGAAACGTCGAAGTTCTCCTTGTACTTTTCAGGCAGTTGTATATCTCTCTCAATCCGAAGCTTTCTTAATACTGGTTACCCTTTTCCCGGAAATTAAATAGTTTTGCTCAAGCATTTTTGTACAGAGATGGCAAAAATAGTTGAAAGATTAGGACTGTTAGCCTAACTAAAACAACAATGACTGTATAGGTATGCTATTTTGCCTTGTGTGAGTTTTGGTGTAAAATGTAATCTGAAACGCGGTGTAAAATGTCATTCAACTCTTGTTATGTTTGCAAATAAACTGTTTTTAGCTTTACAAAACAGAATGAGTTGAATAAACAGAATGATTAATTTGCTTTCTCACACATTTTGAAAAGTCAAAGCAACAAAATTCATAAAGTTAAACATTGAAAACAACTTGCTCTATACTTTCTTGCCCCTATATAAAACGATTTTCAAAATATTTGTTTGTGAAAATTGAAATCATGTCAATCATGCTTATCTCACTCCTGGCAAACATCTGATAAACCATACATTTGAGATCAGTGAGAGCAGGTTCTTTCAAGTTCTCCCTCACGCCAGGGCACCAAGAAATGCAGGTTGTATGAAAAACCTCAATAGTGTATAATATTTATGTCGAGTATATGAGCAATCACGAGCGCTTTTTTAGAGTGAACTTCAAAATGAGTAGTTTCATCCTGCAATGATGACCAACGATTAGTCGTAATGTTGAATTAAAAATATGAAACTTGACGGAGTTTCCATTGTACCACAATTTTAACAAACCTAATTAAATTGAATAAAAGAACTTAAGTTAATTTGGTAAAAGACCTGAGCCTTTTTGTTCAAACCATAGACATTATAAATAACAATACTGGGGGCATCGAGTGTGAAATTTGGCAGCGCGATAATGGTGGGCAAATTGAATTCCCGGATGAACACCACACAATTCTTGGGTTACACTTGAAACCAGAAAAATTTAAAACGGGTGTTTTATATGTTTTGCAAGTCATTACTACAAACTTTCCAGCAAAATGTTGAATTCAATCGATTAATTCCTCTTGAAAAGATCAAAATTGCTGACATAAGCATTATTTTGGAGCGCTCTCAAAAATATGTTCGAGACAAACGTGAGGTAAAAATGCTTGGTAAGAATCAAAACGGGACTACTTAACTGCCATAAACAAGAATTTAGAGATTTTGGCTCAAACTCGCTCTTTATATATATTTTAGCATTTTATTTTTTTCCCCAATAGCCGCATTCCCTTTCTTTGACTGAATTAAGATTACGATGCCCTTCTAGTGTTATTCATAATCTCTATGGTTCAAACCTCGATTAAATTAAGGTTAAAATCAATTTAATTAACCCGTTGGTTTGGTCTGTGTATCTTCTAACGCATGTTAATTTTCAAAACATCAGAAAATGAAACTCCTATATTAACTCATGCATGCAGACAAAATTACTGGAAAATTATTTCCAAGCTTGCAAGCAAGCTGTTGGGAGGTTTGCATGGAAGTTTATGGTTTACTGGCCTAGGCCCTGGTTCGAACAACCGGCACCTGAATTACTCATTATTTGAGCACATATAATCACATTTTGTTTGGCCCATGGAAAGTTGACGTATGAACTCCGCCTTAAAAGTCACTACTGTACTGCACAAACAAATTCACACTATTATAGCTACTGGATTTACTCAATCATAAAATACCTGTAATCATCCCAAAAGAAATTGTTAAATTTTCGTGCATCTGCAAAGATGAAGCCTGCAACAACGAGCAGGAATATCTATAAACAAAAACGTTATAATTTATAAGCAATTTTGAATTAATGAAATATATTCCTGCTTGCTTGATTTTCACGAAATGACTGTTTCTATCATTACATGAATTTACGAGGAGTCCATAATCCTGGAGATAAAACACTTGAGATGACATCCTTATGTTATATTCTTAAAACATATTCTTAAGTGCATCTTCTTAACCTATATAATATTATTCGGTTTAAACGCTGCATGTTTATACTTATTTCGTTTTCTCTACACAATTGGAAATTCGAAAATAATGATTATGTTCAGAAATAAGGGGAATGCAATTACTTCATGTCAAATAATTACCTTCACAAGCAAAATTAACAAGGAATTTGTTCCATTAAGAAGTGATTTATTTATTTATTGTGTGAGAATTGTGCATGGTAAACTCAAGACACTTAGAGACGTAAAGCAAGCTATGAGTATAATTTCTTTGGCCATAAAACTCTCGTAATCATGCATTATGCATATACTGTAGGCTAGTCATAGATTTTTCTTACATTCTATAGCATTATCTTCTCTTTCTTGTGCTTAATGTTCGAGTTTTTTCTTAATATTAGTACTTTTCCTCTCCTTATCTGATTACATCATCTTCTTGTTTTCCTTAGGTAAGATTTTAGCGGTCTTTTATAGAGTTAAAATTGAAAGTTCTTAGTACAGAAAATCAACTCTTTTAACGAGGATGCTTCCAGCTCTTCTTTACTATAGAAACGTTGATTTCGCGAACAAGTAAAGCACTACCTCGATATATGCAAATGTCACAAATTTGCGTTCATATTCTTGTAACAATAATTTAGCTTTGGACACACAAACACGTGCATTTACGCTCTTTTAAAACTGTTTGTTCATCTCTATCATAAAATACAAGATACTCTTTAGTCTTTACTCCCAGCTAGCAAAATGTGTATATACTTTTATTTTAATTGACCGCGCGCAACACGTGCATGCAAGGCTTGAAAAATGTTTAAGTTTAAAAACAATATTTTTGGACCAAGTTTAAAAGTATTCACTCCAATTTAATTTGCCATGCAGTCTCTTAGTTATGTCATGATTAAACAATTTAGACACACAAATTACATATAACTGCGTGCAACATTCACTAATTTGGTCAAATGAAAAAAATCGTTAGACAGTTAAAACAGAACCGAGAATCTTTGTTAACATTGTTCAAGCAACATGACATTTTTTAATGAGCATAACATTAATGAAATTTAAAAAAATAAGAAGAAAAAAGCTATGGTCAAAAGATAACAATTTGAGAAAGTTAACTATACCTTGAACATCATCTTGCTGTTTTATTGGTAGTTTTTCAACGTGTTTTCTTGGTTTCTTCTTCAGTTAAATAACTGGATTCAACAGGAATCTTCTGATAGCCAAACCAAGTGACTCGTCCTTTTTATATACGTTCAACACGCATACTTAATATAGATTCAAGATGGGGGCAGCTGCAGACGCCGCATATAGCTTTAAATTAAACTACTACAAAGGTGATTGAAGTGGAATGAGTATATGATGAATGGATGTTCAGTTGAACTGTCTGTTGAAGCGTTGTTTGGAGGTGGAATTTCGAGTGTATATATCCATAATTATATACATTTTAGACCTAACCTAGAGCAGCTGTGAAAAATGAAATTATATATATAATAAATTTTAAATAAATTCTGCGATTGCGCCAAAAGTTAAATTTTCCCCTGCTTCTCTTGATTAGGTCTTAAAAGCATAAGTCACACTCGAAATTTCCATCCACTTAAACCCTTCAACATTTGCAATTTCACTGTTTCATCACATTTTGGTTTTATATAGCTATGTATATATAAGCATGCATGCACTGCTTATAGTATCAGTTTTACACAATGGCAAATAAAAAGTTTTCTTGCATCACTAAATATATATATATATATATATATATATATATATATATATATATATATATATATATATATATATATATATATATATATATATATATATATATATAGTATCAGTTTTACAAAATGGCAAATAAAAAGTTTTCTTGCATCACTAATACTTTTCTGATAAAGATTAAAGGTCTTATTTGTGAAGAGTAAAGTTACGTTTTCTTTAATGAAGGACAATCTATACATCTAAAAACGGGGTTCCATATATATATATATATATATATATATATATATATATATATATATATATATATATATATATATATATATATGTACG